ACACTCCTCTCACACATCAGAGCCCAGAGAGACCTGGGCTACTAGATTTTGTGAATCTCCCTAGGCTCTGCGTGTGTGGGAAGGGGTGAGAGGTGCAAGCTCTCCTTACTCACTCTCCCTGGGTTGAGACAGGAGGTGTGGGCTCTGGCGTGGGAATGAGGGGTTTGGGTGTGGGAAGCGGAGAGAGGTGCAAACTCAGGGAGGGAATCTGGCTGCAGAAGGAGGTGGGGAAGGGGATGCCGGCTCAGGGAGGGGGCTCCCGGCTGGAGAGTGTTGGGGCAAGCCGCAGGCTTGTGGATGTGGAGGTACAAGAGTTTTTGAGTTGGGTTGTGTGGGGAGCTCAGGGCAGGGGGGTTGCGAATATGTTGGGCTCAGGGCAGAGATTTGCTCTGTGTGGATGGTGCAGGAGTGTTGTGGCAGAAGACTGGGGATGTGGGGGTGGAGGAGATTGGGGATGTGAGGGGCTCAGGGCAGGAGGTTCAGGTGTATGATAGGCTCAGGGTTGGGATATGTGGGGGGTGCAGGAGTGTTATGATGCTGCGGCCAGATGGGGGCTTGGCCCCAATTGGGGGCTTGTTGACCAGGCTTCATTTTTAAATAAATATTATGCCCAACACAAAATGTTTCAGCCTTGTCTTTATTCATGGGAGAGGCAGGGAACCTGTTTTGGATCAGGGGCCACTGACCCACACAAAAGTCAGTTGGGGCCACACAAGTGAGATGCAAAGAAACAACTCTACAAAACCACCCAAACCTCACTGATCTGGCCCCAACTGAGACACCTCACTCCCCTGACACTCCAGCCCCATGAGGAGAGTAGGTAGGACTGAGATTCAAGTCCTCAGAACAGATGAACTCTTCTGGGGTTCCAGGGTTAGTGGATTTTGTGGGCTCCTCTACATTCTGAAGTGTAGAGGACAGGGTCAAGGACAGAGCTGCTAGTGAGTGGGATAGGGATGGGTGTGCGGAATCTGGGTGGAATATAGAGTACAGGAGCAAGCTGGTGGTGTCTGGCCAAGATGGAGAGGACAGGGGCAGGGTGCTAGTGGGTGTCTGGCCAGAGGGAAGGAGCAGGGGACAGGGGGCTGGATAATGTCTGGCCAGGGTGCTGGTGGGAGTCTGGCCTATGGGAACGGGCAGCTCGGCCCGTACCAGGGGATCTCTAGGGATGAGTATCTCGAAGCCACTCCGGATCCTGTACTGTCATCTTAACCCTTTCCCCCGAGCATGGGGAAGGAAGAGAAGACAAGAAAACACACGCTGTTATGGGCAGGGGAGGTGCAGGCGCTTTCTTGTCTTCCCTTCCTTCCCTGTGCTGTCTTTCTGCAGCGTGGGGGGGG